GTGAATCCTATACTTAGCTTTGGCCTAGGTATAAATCATCATTATCATTATTATTATTTTGGTACTTCCCCAGTCCTGCTCTGTTTGGGCAGAGCAGCATTTGCATGAAGGAGGAGACATTCGTTTTAATTGGCATCCTTGCTGACTAGTAGTAAGCAGTGGGGCCCCAGTCTTAGTCTGTTTGGGCTACCATAACAAATACCACAAGCTGAGTGGCTGGGTGGCTTAAGCAACAGAAATTTATTTCTCATTGTTCTGGAGGCTGGAAGTCCAAGATCAAGGTGTCAGCTAGTTTAATTCCTTGTGAGGGCTTTCTTCTTGGCTTTGAACACAACAGAGAGAGAGAGAGAGCAAACTCTCTGGTGTTTCTTCTCATAAGGACACTAATCCTATTGGATTAGGGCTTCACCTATATGACCTCGTTTAAAACTAGTTGCTTCCTTACTGCAAACACAGGCATACTAGGGCTTCAATATATAAATTTAAGGGGTACACAATTCAGTCCACAGCAGGCTTTCTGAATAGAACATCCAGTACGAGTTCTAGAGTCAGACAGATCCAAGTTGGAAGCCCAGCTCTGCCACTTACTAACTTTGTAAAATATTTAATCTTTCTGATCCTCAATTTCCTATTCTGAAAATTAAAAACAGTAGTTCCACTTCAGAAGGTGATGGGAATTATTAAATTAGAAAATGTATAGGCAGTAGCCAGCACAATGCCCAGCATACTGTAGGAGCTCCGTAATAGTTGGCTAGATGGTGCTCCTCAAAGTGTGGTCCATGGTCAGCAACATCAGCGTTCGCTGAGGTCATGATTAAAGTAGAGAAAATCAGACCCCTTCCCAGATGTGATAAATAAGGATATACATCTTAACAATATTCTCAGTGAACGGAACACACATTGAAGTTTAAAAACCATTGAAGTAAACGGTATGAATTGGCCCAGTTTGGCCATAAGGCATACTGAGAATGCTGTGACAGAAATCAGGGGGATGCAGAAAGGTGCCAGGGGCAGCAATGTTTTGATTTCATTTGGCCCAACTCATCCCTGAGCAATGGTTGAATGGAGGAAGGGAAGGGAGTTGAAGCCTGAGGAAGAACTGGGGCTAGCTAGAGGTGACCCCAGGCCAAGCTCCCCACCATCCCATTGCATTGTCTGTAGGGGCAAGGTCCCAGCTCGTGCTACTGTCTAAGAGGTTTGACATAGGTTGGAACAGTGGTCAGTGGTGGTTATAAATGGCTTGTCCTTGGCCATTTTCTCTTTCCTGCCTCGTCTGAACTACCGGTTGTTGAGTGAACCAGCCATTTCTCACTTGTCTGTGGGTCTTTACACCTGATTCTTTCTTCCCTGCCCTTATCTCCTGGCTCATTACCACTCATCCTTGAGCCCCTGGCCCCTTAGTTGCTCCTGTCCTCACTCTCACTTACCACACTGCCTTATGGAGGCCTGAGTACTTGCCTGTCCCCACCCCTATGACCCCCAGCTCCTTGAAAAAGTCTTCTAGACAATCATGATATTAGGAGAGAGCTCAGGATCTGACACATTCTGCCTCTTCCCAGCTCTGTGAATGAGTCTCTGAATTTCTAGGAACTTTGCTTCTCTCATTTGTTTTATTTTATTTTTTTGTACAGAGTCTCACTATGTTGCCCTGGGTAGAGTGCTGTGGCGTCACAGCTCATGGCAACTTCCAGCTCTTGGGCTTAGGTGATTCTCTTTCCTCAGCCTCTCAAGTAGCTGGGACTACAGGCACCCGCCATAATGCCTGGCTAGTTTTTGTTGCAGTTTGGCTGGGGCTGGGTTCGAACCTGCCACCCTCAGTATATGGGGCCAGTACCCTACTCACTGAGCACAGGCGCCACCCAGCTTCTCTCATTTGTAAAATGGAAACATGTTTCTTTTGAGAATTAAATAAGATAAAGGATGTATGGTTGCAGGACTTTGCAGCCATAACACAGGTGTGCTAGAAACAATTTTCTAGAAAATTAGTTCCCAATTTTCTTTAAACCAGATTAAATCTGACTTCAGCAGGCTGTAGAGCAGTGGTTCTCAACCTTCCTAATGCCATGACCCTTTAATACAGTTCCTGTGGGTTGCTACCCATGAATGAGAACCTCTGCTGTAGATAATTTTCATTTCAATCCTTACTGGGCCTTCCTTCCTTCTCTCTCTCTTTGCTCACACAGTACTACTGGAAACTTTCACGATGTGCAGAGAATGGGAGAAGGGCCTGGGATCTGGAGTTCTATCCTGGACATCAGAAATTTGTGCACTTGAACATGTAGGATAGTGTAGTGGTTAAGAGGGAGGTTCTGGGGTTAATTGGGACACTACCACACACCAGCTGTGTGGCCAAGGGAAATCTGCTTGCCCTCTCTGACCCTCAGTTTTCTTATTCTTAACATGGAGATGACGACAGTACCAACCCCTAGAGGACTTCTGAAGACTCAGCTAATCCATAGAGATCTTTTAGCACAGAGTGAATGTAAATCATATGGAAGTCTTGCTTTCTCACAACTGCACGTGTCTAACCCACCCTATAGCACATGGGGAGAAATACACATATCTGTACTTTATAGAGAAAATAGCTGCTAATTTTGATTTTACAGTTTTCCTTTTATATTTTGAGGCTAATAATGTTTTCTCAAGTCTTTTTTTTTTTTTTTTAGACAGAGCCTCAAGCTATCCCCCTGGGTAGAGTGCCATGGCATCACAGTTCACAGCAACCTCCAACTCCTGGGCTCAAGCGAGTCTCCTGCCTCAGCCTCCCAAGTAGCTGGGACCACAGGCGCCCGCCACAACGCCTGGCAATTTTTTTGGTTGCAGCCATCATTGTTTGGTGGGCCCAGGCTGGGGATTCGAACCCGCCACCTTAGGTGTATGTGGCTGGCGCCTTAGCCGCTTGAGCCACAGGCGCTGAGCCGTTTTCTCAAGTCTTAAATGTCTCTGAGGATGAAAACCTCTCTGGCCCTAGTGCTGTGTCTAGAGTTCCTGAGGGTACAGGTGGATAGAACAAGAGCAATAATGATAGCAGCAACCAAAACAAAGTGACATTTTGAAGCCCTCTCTGGGCAGTCCCCTGTCCTAAGCATTTCAGATCTGTTAATTCACTTACTCCTATTGGGGAGGTGCTGCCACCCCATTTTCCAGGAGAGGAAATGGGGACAGCATAGTCACTGGCCAGGTACAAAAAGGTGGGACTGGTTTAACAATGGAGTTTTCTACCCAAGCAGGTGGCTCATGCCTGTAATCCTAGCACTGTGGGAGGCTGACACAGGTGGATTGCCTGAGCTCAGGAGTTCGAGACCAGCCTGAGTGAGAATGAGACCCATCTCTAAAAAAAATAGCCAAGGCCGGGTGCAGTGGCTCATGCCTGTAATCTTAGCACTCTGGGAGGCCATGGTGAGTGGATAGCTTGAGGTCACGGATTCGAGACCAGCCTGAGCAAAAAGCAAGACCCCCCATCTCTATTTTAAAAACAAAAATAAATTTAAAAATAGCCAGGCATTGTGGCGGGTGCTTGTTGTCCCAGCTACTCCAGAGACTAAGGCTTGAGCTTAAGAGTTTGAGGTTGCTGTAAGTTACGATGCCACAGCACTCAAGGTGACAGAGTGAGAGTGAAACTCTGTCTTAAAAAAGGTGGGGGCCATTTTCTGAGTACATACTTCTATGTGGATTTTCTCAGACTCCTCAAAAAATAGTATTACCCCCATTTTCTTAAGGCAGGAAGGAGGGATAGGTCAAGCGATCTACTTGCTTCAGCCTCTGGAGTAGCTGGGACTACAGACCCCTTAGTAGGCTGGGCTGTCTCGGTTTTACATAAGAAACCAGCCCAGAGAGGTTCAGAGACTTGCCCCAGGTCACACAGTTGAAAGTGGTGAATTCTAAACACTGCCTGTCCTTTTAAGGACTCCACACTACTGCTCCTCCCCAAATCTTTCATTTATAGCCAGGCTGAGTTCCTATTCCTACTCCGCTTCCAACCTGATCTTCCCATAATTCCCTGCCACTGTTAGCTCAGGGCCCCCAGCATGGAGAGAGGGCTATTTGCAAGTCTTTGCACCAGGCTGCCCTCCCCTCCTCATCGTCCCTCTTTCTGCCCTGCTTCTGCCTTGGGCAGGTGGGAACCTGGCTGATTGCTTTCCAGGTGTAGGAGCCTGGCTGGTTGCTTTCCAGGTGTGATAGTCTCAGCTGGCTGCCTCTCCTTACCTGCTGATCTTGCTTATCTTGAGTGATCAGAATCCTTCCTGCCATGGGGCCCCAGCTCAAGGTCACCTCCAGAGGGTCCCAGTACCTGCTCACTGCATAGGTCCAGTCCTGACTTGGCTGAAAATGAGGGTGTAGTGAGCAGTGATTTGATTTTTTTTGTTGTTGTTGTTTAACAAGCCAGGCCCTTGTCTGGAGTCTTCCATTTTCCACCACAGAGAACAGAACCAGAGTTAAGTTGGGAGGTAAAAGGACAGCAAGCTTTAGACTAAAGTGCTGGGTTTTGTCCCAGGCTCTCTGCCTCACTCCTATAACCTTGGCCTAGTCTCTTCCTCTTTTGGAGCCTCAGTTCCCCAGCTGGAAAGGGAGTGATGGGCTTGGACACTCTCCAACATCCTTTTCTTCTAGGAGTGTGTGACTAAATCTGTCCTCTGCACTGGAGTGTTGGGTTTATGACAGATATGTGTATATATACACACACATGTGTGCATATACAGAGGATGCCCCCCAAAATACACATTTTAAGAAAGTAAAAAACTGTATTAAAATTGTAATATTCAATATATACCAATAACACAAGCTGAATACAAGTCACATTTGAGCACCTCTTGTAATTGCAGAAGTCAAATGTGGCTTGAGTATTACAATTTCAATACAATGTGCATACATGTTTGGTACATTTAGTTATATAAAATATATTATATATAACTTTATTTAATTAGGTTTTTTGTGTATTTTAGTTAAAATGTTTATATATGATTTTATATATGTAACTTTTTCTTTTCTTTTCTTTTTTTGCAACTTGTCATCAATTTATTAGATTTAAGCATCTGCAATGGTGACTTGGACCTCAACTCCTGGCTCAATGCTGATGGAGGTGATCTGCTTCACAATCTCAGAAGGGCTGTGCAGGTCAATGAGTCGCTTGTGGATTCTATCTGGAAGCGATCCCAAGTCTTAGAACCTTCACCACAAGGGGTTTTCCTTGTAGTGATTCTCAAAGTCTCGGTAGGCATCCGAACTGGTCCTTTCACTTTAAGATTCATCTCCTTTGCGTCTCTGATCAAGTCAGCACACACCTTTTTCAGGGACTTAACGTTGCAGCTGGTGAGAGTAATTCTAATTCGGTGAATCACCAGCTCTGGCTCCACAGGTGTTTTCCCGGTATCTTTAATAGCCATGGCTGCAGCGCGGCTTCCTGACCGACTTGTTCCTCGGCGGCGAGAGCGAACAGCGGTGAGTCAGGAGCAGAAGCAAGCACAGCGCGCCTCCGCCGAACCTGCAACCGCGTCTTCCTCGAAAAGAGTCTCTTTTTTTTTTTTTTTTTTTTTTTTCAAAAAAAAAAAAAAAAAAACTAGCAAACTCATCCCCTGCCACTTCAGGAAGAACCCCCCCCCACCCCCCCACCCCCGTTAAGCCATGAAGACCGTAAGGGACCCAATATCTAGGGGAGAAGAGGGGAGCACAGGCAGATGCAGGAAGCAGAAGGGAAGCAGGTGCTGGGCAGTGTGGGACAATCTTTTGTGGAAATTTTGAAAATGGGATGTCTGGGCTCCGCGCCTTTAGCTCACTCAGAGGCTAGGGCGCCAGCCACACACACTGAGGCTGGCAAGTTCGAACCCAGTCTGGGCCTGCCAAACAATAATAACAACTACAACAAAAAAATAGTCAGGTGTTGTGGCGGGCACCTGTAGTCCTGGCTACTTGGGAGGCTGAGGCAAGAGAATCACTTAAGCCCAAGAGTTTGAGGTTGCTGTGAGCTGCGATGCCACAGCACTCTACTGAGGGTGACATAGTGGGACTCTGTCTCAAAAAAAAAAGAAAACAAAATAGATGTCTGCTGTAATCCTAGCACTTTGGTAGGCCAAGGTGTGTGGATCAAGACCAGCCTGAGCAAGAGTGAGACTCTGTCTCTACTAAAAATAGAAAAATTAGCTGGGCATTGTGGCAGACATCTGTAGTCTTAGCTACTCAGGAGACTGTGGCAAGAGGATTGCTCAAGCCTAAGAATTTGAGGTTGCTGAGCTATGATGCCACAGCACTGTACCCAGGGTGACAGAGTCAGACTCTGTCTCAAAAACAAACAAAAAACCCCAAACTGAAAATGGGATGCCTAAACCCTACTCCAGACCAGTTAAGCCAGAATTTCTGGGAGTGGAATTGGGTATTGGTGTTTTTAAAAATACCCAACAAAACAAAAAACCCAGATAAGTGTGATGTGCAATGAAGGTTAAGAATTAGCACTTGAGAATAATGGGTCTCAAGCTTTAGCTTGCCTCTGAATTTCCTGAGGGGTGCTGGGCCCCACCTGCAGAGTTTCCCACTCAGTAGGTCTGGAGTGGGACCTGTATCACTTTCTCACGGCTGCTGTAACAACTCACTACAAACTTAGTGATTTAAACAACATAAATCTATTACCTTACAGTTCTAGAAGTGTGGAATTCAAAATGAGTCTCTCTGGGCTAAAATCTAGGTGTTGGCCAATCTGTATTCCTTTTAGAGGCTCTAGGGGAGAATCTGTTTCTTTGCTTGGCCCAGATTCTGGGGCACCTACATTCCTCAGCTTGTGGCCCCTTCCTCTAGCTTCATAGTCAGCAATTGCATCATGCCGACTTCTGCTTCCATCATCATATCTCTCTGTCTCCAACTGTGCTGGCTTCTCTTTCACTTGCAATTATGCTGGGCCCTCCTAAATATTCAGGATAATTGTTCATTGTCAAGACTCTTAACCACATCCGCAAAGTGCCATAGTCACAAAGTAACATAGTCACAGGTTCTGGGGACTAGGATATGGACATCTTTGGTGGGGGTGGGAGGTGGGGACATTATTCTTAGCCATGGGGCCTAAGCATTTGAATTCTAACATGCCTCCAGGTGATGTTGGTGCTGCTGGTCCAGGGACCACGCTTTGAGAACCACCCTTTACAGTGATCCAAATGAGCCACAGCTGCCCTGAGAAGTCAGTCTCCAGGAGGAGAAATAGATAAGGAGGATTTTCAGTAATGTTAGCTGATAGGCTTTCCCCTTTTCTATCTCTACTCCATGTCCAGGAAATGTAGAAATAAGACATTCAGGGTAAGAGCAATATTCCCTTTGGTTGTGACATGTGGGGAAATCTCCCTTCAGGTGGGAGCGTGCAGGGTCAACCGCTATGAGTCACAGGCAGGATGGAGGATTATGAAATCTTTTTCTTCAAAGGTGTATGATGCTTCAAATGGGACTTATATGAAGGCAGAGGCCATGATATGTTTTTTCAAAGGCATCAGTTTGTATATGTCTGGGGGTGCTCAAAAGTTTCATCTCTCGGCTCAGTGCCTGTAGCACAATGGTTACGTACGGTGCCAGCCACGTACGCTAAGGGTAGCACGTTTGAACCCGGGCTGGGCCAGCTAAACAGCTGCAACCAAAAAATAACTGGGTGTTGTGGTGGGTGCCTGTACTCCCAGCTACGTGGGAGGCTGAGGCAAGAGAATCACTTAAGCCCAAGAGTTGGAGGTTGCTGTGAGCTGTGATGCCACAGTACTCTACTGAGGGCCACATAGTGACACTGTCTCAAACAAAAAAATGTTTCCTCTCTCTTCAGACTTCTACCGTTTGGTAGCTGTCACCGGCAGTGTTCCTTTTCTCTCTCCCTATTCCATAACATTCTAACCTTTTCTTCCCTGATTCTCTTTTCCTTTCTCATCTCTTCACTCCTTTTCCTGTTAGGTCCTGTCCAGTGCCCCCTCCCCTGAGAAAAACCCCTCCTTTTCTTCTGGAACACTTCATTGATTCCCCTTCTCTGTTTTTATTGGCTATTTCTCTCAGGTTTTCAACACTTTCTAAGTCAAGAGAGAATTGTGCTCATTTAATTATTTGTGGTTTGTATTTTAATATTTGTATTAGATCTGGTTTTAGAAAGAACTTAAATTAGTCTAAGATTATCCAAGAACTCAAGCTCTATGTTACATTTCAGTTTGAATTTGCTGGAGTCACTTTTTTTTTTTTTTTCAACTAGCAAAGCCACTAAAGAGAAAAACTCTATCCAGGAGATTTTTCTAACATGAGAACCTGTAGTTCATTTATAACCTAAGTGAGCAAATTCCAATTCCTTCCACAAACATTTTTTATATTAAATGAATAATATGCACAGTTTTAAGGGCTTGCTAGGTAGGCAGACTCTACTTAACACTAAATAACCACTTCAGGAGGAACTCTGTATTAATTTGCTCACGAGACTTCTTGCTTCTTCTTGGCAGAGCCTAAATGAGTTAGTGGCTTAAAATTTTAAAAAAGAGCTTCCTCCCACCTGTCTGGTGTCTTGATTCTTTATGCTCTTGAGATTCTTGGAATTTAAATATTCTTCCACGCCCCCTTTCCTTTTTCTTTACTGAAATTCCAAGTGTAATAATTGACATAACAGTACACCTCTCTGTAGTTTCCTTTCATTTTAACCAAACCTAAATCAAAGTGATTTTTTTAAGATTATAGCTTCTATTTCCATATAGGGATACATAAGATGCAGCAAGATTATATAAGTCAAAAGTAAGTAAGACTATGATAGGGTAAAACAAGGATAAGGACATAAAATAGAATCAGGAATGAAGCTACTATAAAAAGACATGCCATGGAGTTGGACATTTTTGCTGCAAGTGGCTACATATTTGGTGCGAAGCTTCCTGGCAGTCAAGACAAAAAGGAAAAACTAGTTAGTTCTAGTTTATAGGGCCCATGTGGTAGAAAATTAATCTATGGCTTAGGAGAGACACAGCTAAAAGTCCAGAAAGATGCTGTGTGAAATGGGGAGCCCCACCCCCAAGAACATCTTTCTGATAGTCTCAGTGATGAGTTTCATGAAGCATTTCTTTACAGCATGGGAGAGTAAAAGCGATTCTGCAGGGAGTTATGTGAGTCAGCCCAGGGATTCAGCCTCCCTTGGTTTAGTTTAAACTTGGGTTACTTTTAGAGTATCTGGATCATCTAGTTGCCCTTCAAGGAGAGTTATATTTCCAAAAGAAAGAAGGTCTGTCAGTTAGGATCCTGATAATTACAATCAACAGAATGCCCAACCCTATTGACTAACACAAAAATGACATTTCTGGGCTCATGTGACTGAAAACTTCAACAGTAGTTTAAGCATTAGATAAACCATGGCTTAAATGCTCTGACCAGGGCCTGGTTTCTTTCTCTGAATTTCCCAGGACCACTTGCACGGTCTAGCAGCTCTCAGGACTACTTCACACAGGGCTGATGGAACTACACACTGTCATGCTGATACCAATAGTTAGAAAACCTCTGTACTCATTGGTAAACAGCCACTGTCCTAGGAATATCCAAAAGCCACTCTGGACCACTCCAAAATGCAACTAATGAGTTAAGGCCCAGCATAGCTGCAGGCCTGCAAGTCCTTTCTTCCTGCACTGGTCTGTTCTGATTAGTCAAATTTTGAAAATCATTGCTAAGTATATTTATCCTGTGTATTGACTGGGAAGAGAAGATGTTTTCCCAGAATTCTCAGTGAAAGTCCTGATTGGATCAGCATAGGTCACATACTCATCCCTTCATTAGTCACTGTGGACTAGAAAGCACTGATTAACCTAGGCTGGATTACATGTTCTACCTTGACCCGTCTACGCTAAGGGTGAGCAACTTGTTCAGGAACAGGGTAGTTGAGCAGAGACTTATGGGCTTTACAATCAGACAGATCCAGGTTAGTTTATTCAGTCACAAATTTAAAATGCTGGGTATATAGGCTAGGTGTGGAACAGCACAAGATAAGACAAACAAGGAATAAAGAGCAGTGGATTAGGCCAGGCGCGGTGGCTCACACCTGTAATCCTAGCCCTCTGGGAGTCCAAGGCAGGTGGATTGCCTGAGCTCAGCAGTTTGAGACCAGCCTGAGCAACAGTGAGACCCTCATCTCTAAAAATAGATGGGTGTTGTGGCAGGTGCCTGTAGTCCCAGCTACTCAGGGGGCTAAGGCAAGAGAATTGCTGAGGCCCAGGATTTTGAGGTTGCTGTGAGCTGTGATGCCATGACACTCTACCAAGGGCAACAAAGTGAGACTCTGTCTCAAAAAAATTAATTAATTAATTAATTAATTAAATACTGGGTATAAGTTACCAAAAAAAGAGTCCTCATCCCAGCTCTAACAGAGACATACTTCAATATATCAGTTATCTATTGCTGAGTAACAAACAACCCTAGAACTTAGTGATGTAAAACCATGACCATTTTATTTGTTCAGCAATTTGGGCTGGCCTCTGTCTCAAAAATAAATAAATAAACAAACAAATAAGTAAAAGAGGTCCCTCTT